TAGAGTAACTATTGAGCAAAAATACATTCATCATAAAGCTATATAAGGACAGTGAACATAGCTAGCCATTCAAACTTGTATAATATCATCTTATCATCAAAAAATATGAATCTTTGTTACCTTTTGCTCTTACTCCTTTCAATTTTTACAGTTTTCGCTTATCCTTTAGCTGATGGTGAAGGCACGGACTCGGATGAATCTGAGGATTCTGACTCTTCTCAAAAGCTAGATTTTTGTGAAATGAAAGAAGGAAAATGCTTACGAATATGTGGTCTTCCAAAACCAATAGGATTAGATGCTCCATTAAATCAATACACTTGCTTCCGAAGATGCTTGAAGCTTGAAACGGTTCCGGACCCTCCTCCTAAAACACCAGATTTCTGTGAAACTGAAGAAGGAAAATGCTTGCAAATATGTGGCCTTTCATCAATAGATAATCCATTATCTCAAGATCCTTGCTTTAAAGAGTGCATAAACCATGGTGAAACCGAAGACAATAACGAAGACAGTAGTAAAGACAGTAGCAAAGATAGTAGCAAAGACAGTAGCAAAGACAGTAGCAAAGACAGTACTGAAGACAGTACCGAAGACAATACCGAAGACAATACCGAAGACAGTACTGAAGACAGTACCGAATCTGAATAAAAAAATTCCCAGGGTGTAAGCCAATAAATTCAAAATGCTTCTCTTGAAATCAGATTATAATAAATAAACATATAATATTATTATATATTTTTAAAGATTTTAAATAAAATTTATAAAATCACACTGACACCATTCTGAAGCTATTACACAGCCATAGAATATGAAATAATTGTCAAAATTTCTGCAAATCTGCGTTAACTTTTATATTTAAACCTCTACGTACACGCGCACATAACAGTAGTTGTTTTGCTTATTTGTGCCAAATAGATCACATGAAAAATTATGCCAAAAATGTTAATCAAAAAATTTCAATCCCATAATTTTTAATCTAGTGAGAGCACAAGAGCACATAAGCTTACAATTACCAATTACCGTCATGTTGATAAGAAAGGTGAGATAGTTAGTAATCCCTTTGATAAGGACGGAACAACATGATTAAAGCATTTGTCAATCCCGTTGGCGTGACGTCTTATTAAGTTTTCTTTTCTTTTTCTAAAAAGATCCATAATCAAACTACATATGGCTTTTTCTATTAAATAATCTTTTGAAGTCCTATTAACGATTTCTATTAAATTTTTTTTATCTTATTTAGCTCATAAAATTTCGAAATAAGAAAATATTATAAACTCTTTCGTACATGAATAATTTGAGCAAGACACGTTAGTAATTTTTCAACAAAATTTCATAGTATACATTAGAATACGTTATGGTTGTTGATAATTGACCATCCATGACTCATAAACGAAGCAGTTATATGATTTTGGAACTATAATTTATGTCTCATTTTATGTATACTCATGTATTTAAAATCTTAATAAAGTTGGCTAGTAAGACTACTAAAGTGAAAAAAAAATTGTATTTAATTCATAAAGATGAATAAAATAAGTATTATTTTTAGTATAATATTGAATAAATAAAAATCTTAAAACAGAACTCTTGTTTTGGAGGATTTTTATCCACCTAACCTATGTTTTATATTATATCATCAAGTAATATTATATATTTTTGATATTCAAAGGCTAATAGTTAATAAATTTATAAATATATTTATATATAAAAAATTAAAAAATAGTTTGTCATTATAAAATTCTGAAAAATTATTTGTATACTACATATATATATACAAGCTTCCTTGCTTATGGTTAAGGTAAGGTTGATTTGGGTAAGGTATAGATAGTTTATACCAAAATTTCGCAGGGAAGTTTTTTATTGGAAGCTAAAAGGTTATTTCATAATTAAAATTTTGAGACGTCGGTTGTTTTCTATATTGCCCCGTATATAAATTGAAATTTCCATATAAGTTTAATCCTTTTTGTCAAAACTGTTCCATAACAACAGCATCGAATTTACATCTGTTATAACGAGGTGGTCGGGCTGAGAAATTCTGTCCGTTACAATGAATACCCGCTTTTAGATTG